CCCGATTCGGAGTGGCGTAAACAGAGAGGTGGCCAACCCATGACCTGGCAGAGGAGTATGAAGGAGATGACGAAACGCTTGGGTGCTGTCGGTGCTACTCGCCTTCCAGGATGGGGACCGCGTGATCCTCACTGTGCCTGGTTGGAGACACTACAAGATATGGCTGCCAACCGATGTCAGTGGCGTTCTTGTCGTCGGTCTCAATCCAGATCGCCTGAGTGAGTGTCTGGAAGTGTAGGCACCTCTGAATGATTGTGTTAAGCTGGCACTAAGTCCCTTCCCTGTGCACCCTTACTCTTTTCTTTACAATAAGGTTTTCAAATAAATCATGGTTGTACGGCAGTGAAGTATCGGTGTTGAACACTGATTTCATGCTGTCGGTGATGGTACAAAGCGGTGTTGAAAAGCTTTGATGTTGTGAATTTACACAGTGTAGTCATAGATGGCAACGTCATTAGACGGTTAAGCAGTGAATATCAACATGCTGAAACCTGTTGTAGTACGAGGAAACTCGTTGTCCATAAATATGGTTAGGTTGCGGTCTGCTGATCCACCTGTCGATGACGCATGTTTTCTGGCGTGGTGAGCGAACTACCTGCTAGCCGTCACCTTAATTGTTAATATCTTGAATGGATGCTGTTAGCGCTGCTCACAGTTTTGGCTTGACTTTTTTTTGATGAGCCTCAAGCTCCATGTGATGGCAGTCCTGAAGTTTGTGACGCAGCTGTGAGGTAGACAATAGACAAATTTCGTGCCTTACCAGTGTAGCTTCCTTCGTGAATTTTCAACTACTAGTGCACCAGTATATTCGCACGTGACGCACATAAAAAGAATGGTGTTGCCTGACCGTCGCTCAAGACAGATCTACGAGGACGTCCGATGTAAGCTAGATGACCCTCAAGGTGTTCGCTACTGCCAAAGACCTAGTGCTGATTAAGAGTGTAACTGCTGCGTGGTAACTCATCGCACTGTTGACCTTTTGGTGGAAGGTTGAACTTCGGTACCTATCAATGAGATAGCAAAGTATAGTTTTGAGGAGGACTGATCTAGATCAACGTATATCTTGTTCTGTTCCCTTGATGAAGAAAGAAACATCGTATGTCTAAACATTTGAAAAAGTCTCATAATTCATCTTATGCTTGTATGTGTTTCGTCTTATTGTTCATCTGAGTGGCTTTCTGAATGTACTGATTCGGTATTGGTTCTATATACGGTTCTTCCCCGTTATTCGAGTCTTTTGGAGACGAACGTGTCTCGATCAAGGATCCTGTTTCTTGGGGAACTTTGATGATGATAGTATGCGGAGGACTGATAATTGCAACCGAGATTTCATCCTGTAAGTGAAGCCAAACCATACCGAAAAGCCGAGAAGCACCGTACAACTGTTTCAACCATATTGGTAACGAGGTACAGGCTACTGATGATTTTCACTAAGGCTAAAAGGGTATGCAGTGCTTCTTAGCTTTTCGGAATAAACTGGCATCACTTACCGGGCGAAATCTCTATCGTTCACCGTAGGTTTACTGGCTTACAGTGAATTCTCCAGATATAGGGTCGACTATCTCACTTCGACTGACCTCACTGTTAGTATCGCCCCTCAATTGAACGGCATTTAGAACAATACCAACATTGGCTAGCCATAGCTTGTTGCAAATCCAGCGCATTTGAACCTCAACGCGTGCGCAGTGATCAGGGGCTCGTCCACAGCATGTCTTCCGCATGTACCCACGCTTCTGTTCGTTAGTTGGGTTCGAACCATGAACCTCCTGGTCAGTTGGTTGGTCCGTTAACCACTGAGCCCTCTCGAGCCCATCGTCATTTTCGCCTTTGTCCATACCTCAATGGGCACCTCATCCCAGAATACGTTGCAAGTTAGGAGATTATCGGGAAATGCCAGTTTTGGTTCAGGAAGTCAGCCTTTAATCCCTATCGTCCTTATTCACCGGTGGAATCGCCATTGTCCGTAAGTCACCTAATATGCCTCTTTGACTTCCATTGTGCATCGCGTTCAAATCGATTTCATGTAAACTTTTAGAGGCGGAACATCTTTCATGAAAGTGGTTATTTCTGTAATTCATTACGATTTCTTCTAGTATAACCTGGCTGGCAATATGCTCAGCAGGTGCCGCCGTATAGGGGGGGGGGTTCTTGGCTTCCATTTTCTTGTTGAAGTGATTTCATCGCTGAAGTTCACTGAAACGGTTGCTTCATGGGGGTTACTGCCTATTATGGAATATTGCATGTAGATTAGTTCAACCAAATGATCGGTACGGTTCCGACATGCTAACGAGAAGTCTCAAACCTGGTCTCTCATGCTTGGTATCAAACTGGCATCATTTTTGTTGTTTTCTGTAAATATTGTGATTCGGTATTGGAGAGGCTGACCTCCGCCTCTCGAATTCTACTGTCTAGGCCTGGGCAACCTGGTGGTATCCCAGCCTTCGTGCTTCCTTCAGATGGCATGGCAGCTGGGCACTTAAAAGGTGCCACAGCTGAACGATTATCTAGTATTCGAGAGGAGCTGATATGCTGTACTGGCAAATGGTTTAGTGGTTTGCTGGGATGTGAATACTCAAAACATTTCCATCTGAGAATCCCACCCCATTGCAACATTGAAACCCGTGGTGTTTCGATGGCTAAGAAGTCATCAGAAGACAGACGGTCACAAAATGTGGGCGGATGAATAACAAGGGCATGATTCCGGTGGTATCCGTGTAATTGATGCCCTCATAACCAACATTGACGGTATTTGCCGCCATGTTCACATAATCAGCCCTGAACCTTGCGTGCCAGGCTATCAGTCCCAATAAAGATCGCCTCACGGGTTTCCCTATTTAGGGGGGAGTGCACACAATGTGGACTGATTAGTCTGTATTTGCAATTTTTTAGTCTGACCGCAGGGGGTGCCTTGTGGATACTGAGGCCGTTCATCAATCGTCTTTAAGCATACTGAACAGGTTTGGTTCTTTGTTCTCATTCACAGAGGAGGATGAGACACTATTTAGTGAGTGAAAAACCTTAGCGACGCTTTAATTGCCATGCAACTACTGGCATTTAGGGTATGGGTACACATTTTGGCAGTCTGAATTCCTCCAGGTGGCATTGTCGGCACACGAACAGCAAGCAAGATGTTCCAATCGTTAAAGGGGAAACTTGGTCAACAAATGGATTCATTCCTGTGTGATTTTTGTGCGGTCAATTTCCGCACCTGTTCGTTTGCCTTTTGTGGATTCTTGCATTTAGTCATATGGTACACACGAGGAATCCTAATGTCCTGATAGGAATATCTTTATCTTGTGATTTGCCTGCCAAATCAAGCAGTGAACACCAACATGTGTGGTATGGTTATTGTTTCATCTGACAGTGTAAACTTCAGACCGACGTGTTCTCTATGCATTTCCCTCAAATATTTTTTATCTGTAAATCAAAACATTCGTGAAGTCGTGTCTGATGCTCTTACTTTGAGTTGTGCAAACTGTTAAAATTGATCTAAGTTTGAGCAGTTCACTGTCGCGAGTGGATTTGTGCTGTTTCTTATTTTGACTGTGGCACTGTGCGCACATGTGAATCTTTTGCATGCATTGGCTGCGCACTCAGCAGTCTAGGTACATCTGTACTCACATCAGCTGATGCAGCTCGATCATTCACTTGCTTGCGTCGTCGGTTGGTCGCTCGCCCACGCACTAGGAGACCGCTCTGTCCAACAGCTAGACAGTAGTGGAGTGACTTAATTTCAAGGACGAATCAGGCGTTGTCTTCCGTCATTGGCCTTAATCCACTGTACATCGCCATTTCCTTGTTTATGCAGTGGGTTCACATGTACCCGGAATGGGCCATTAGATAGACACACATCGGTGAGATTTTCCTCGCTGCACCAATGCTGTTCGCCTGCCCGCCGTCCGGCCGATGTTCACACTGTCGGTGGTATGATCTGACTCACCCCCTCGTGAAAAATCTCAAGGATTGCCCGCGTAACAAATCAAATGTTCGTAAGAGTTTAATGCCCTTATTTGCGCCGACCGGCTTGTGAAAAACATTGTTATGGGTGGTGTTGGGTCAGTGACTTCCCCTGATCTTGATTCAGTTTCCAGCTTCTTTTAACTGTTCTTTCAAAGATTTTCAAGTAACTGCTTGTCAGATTCGTTTCTTATCGTTTATTTCTCATAACTACCTGACCAGTTTCAACGGAATGGTCCTCTGGTTGTAATTGATTAGGTGCTACACTCTGAGTCTCCACATGCTGACAGGTGTTCCCATTGCGACAGCGCTGGACATATAAGTCTTTTGGAAAGTCGCCGTTCCACAACTTGCAACTGGAAAGCGTTCCTAGTAATTCACGCATTCTTGTCCACTGTTTATGAAGTTACCCTTGAGCTGTTTGCACTCACTCAGCCTACTAAATTTCGACAGGTCGGTGGGGTTTCATGGGCCATTAAAATAGGGTGTAGGAAAGTCCTAAATTCTAACCAGGTGTATGCGTATCTAAAAGACTGCCTCACATGTTGGACCAGTGTTTGTGATGTTTGGATGTATTAAAGCGCGGCTATTAATTTGTGTGCTTGAGGACCAAAACCGGTCATCTCAAAGCAAGAACGTAATCGTATACATAAGACTATCTGGTGATTTTTTTCTGGTGATTTATTGTAAATTCATTTTGACAGTTTCTTTCGAAGAGTTCTCAATACTTGTAGCACCAATACAACAGCATATTCGTGAAGCGAGCGTGAGTATATTCTATCAAGGTCACCCTGCTCCATTTCCGGACGTACAGTCATCTCACCTGGCAAAAAAGGTTACAACCAACTCGCCATTCTGCCTTATTTGTGCAGGCGTCCTGAGCATTGTTTCGTCTAGTGGCATCGAGTACCTGAGTGTTCTGTCGTATACTGCAGTACTCTGCTGCATTCCGCATACACCAGTTTCATTAATAAGTGAAGGTTACTCGTACCTATGGGCCGTCTGACCTGCTCGTTCTATTCTATCAATACATCCTCAGCGTCCGTACGGATGTCGTATTCCCTAACTCTGCGTAATGACACCGAAGCGTGATGTAACTCATAGTGAAGTTCGGCTGCGGCGTTTGGTTTGATCGGCGTTGTCAAAGCATGAAACCTGAATCCAATTATGAAGGCTAAGATAACGGAAATTCGGCAGTTTTTGGAAGTGTGCATTCTAAGTTGTGCGACATCTTTAGTTCACAGGATGAGTCGTCCCCGAGGAAGTCTTGATGGTCGTAGACAAAGATTTCTTGGAAAACTTCCGACGTAGATAAATGTCAAACAGAAAGTTTCATTATATGGAAACCGAAACCAACCAACAGGCTACCATGTCATACATGAGGCAGCCACATTTCAAATGACTTCAAAATATTTTTGACCTAGGCATTATCACGTGTCTTCTGAAAAGACATTATCCTAGTGCACTCATTCGCGAAGATTCCCTCTGCATACATATTGATCAGCGAACTGCTGGACAGCCGCGCACTGAATGCATGCATACCTAACCACTGACCGAAAACTATGGTGCTACGTCTGGTTTGCGCTTGCCACCTACGTGTTTCAGTTTCTTAATGAATGTGTGCTTCTCTTTTGTGTGATGTGCATACTCTTGTTTGGTTTATTGTGGTCTCTAGGTCGCCTGGTTGGCGTTACTAACTGCATAGACGTTGGGCACAGCCAGATGATCACTTCATCAGCTTAAGCGAATTCTTTGGTCTCCTACTGTTTCGTGTCTTCCGTGAACTTTACTCACCTTTTCAAGGTAGTTCCTTTCAAACCACTAAGCTGTCTGGATTTTGTACAAAATGACCAGCTTTTGCTGGGCCCATTGGAATTGTGCGCCTTCTGGAATTTGGTATATCCGCATCTACAGAAATATACGCCCAAACAGATTACTATTTAGGTCACTGCTAAATTAAGATTTATTCACGTGGCAAAAGGCCACCTGATGAGACCTTGTTGTATCGTGTATGGCAAACACCAGTGAAAAACCTCATTATGTGCACATACTGGTTTTCCGTGTTTCATACAGTTTTCAATTCTTCGGTGAATGCTCGTGCGTTTTAACCCACTGGACCCAACTCCCAAACAAAAAAGTTTTACGAGCCATTCGGGATCTCGCTCTAGGTAACGAGAAATTCTCGTTATCTAACTAACATTGGATATTTCGTTGTTACGTCAGGTCAGCTAACGCTGACAGTATATACAAAATCGTCTGCCCTGATTTTATGTTGCAGCAAGCACTTTATAATGCGGACGAAGTATTTATATTGCGTAGTTGATTTAGGTTGATTTAAGTTCAGCTGCACACAGTAGTTTCCCATCGAACGTACGGTAATATCAGTGATTTTAGGATAAATTGAGTTTAATAGATTCCGGGCATGCTAATATGATTCTTGGTCCCAAAGTTTTTCCGACGTATTGTTTCGCACATAAAATAACAATTCGAAATTCGTTAAAGTTTTGGTAAAATACAGCCTACAGAGGTTTTCCAGCCAGGATGAAACCTTAAAATTTTGGATGGTAAAAACACGTCAATGTTTATCGCTGTGTAATGTGCAGCATGCGCTATCCAGTGGTCGGTCGTGGTGCGCAAAGACATACGTTGAGATCTACTGGATGCACCTGGGGGAGCATTTCAATACCATCTTACAGCATATTACTCAAACGTGATGTAACTGTTAAAAAAGTACGTGTGAGTCACTCTGCGGCAAAATTAGCCCACATCATGAATGGCCACTGAACCTTGTGTTTTGACGCTGGGTCATGTCACCGGTATCTGCTCATTTTCATGCATTTGTATATGCAACAGCGATGCAAGCAAAGTCGAGTTACAAATTGGTTGGCACGAGATCCAGACATGAAAACCGCAGCCACCTATTGGTATTTGATTCAGTGATTTCTCACCAGACTGGCATTACCACTCTTTTAGGATCACAGTGTCAGAATGGTCGATTGCATGATCAACGGTTTCTGATTCTAGTTAGCGAACATCAGAACGAGCGAGACCTCAATCCACCGACTCCAGTCACTTGTTTCCAAAATGAGAACCTGTTTACCTAACCATTGCCACTTTCTAATGTCAAGTTGTGCCACTATTCCAGGTACAAGATACAACTGTTCGTTATGTATCACACCTAGCTCGAATGAATTAATTGAGCCGGTACGTTGTGGAACTACTTTATTTGTTTTCGTAGACCAATATCATATTCACTTTGTTGATAACACGACAACGTTTCGTTGGTGAGACATCACAACCCATCCGCTGTCAGGTTTCTCAGATAGATAGTTCCTTTGCCAACATCGTTCTTTTGTCAACCGACAGTACGATTTGATTGAATCAACCATACACGTATTTGATCGCTAAGCCATCTCACACACTTTCCTCAGATAATCTATCTTCTGCTCACCTGGAGCGCGAACAGAACGATGTTGAGAACAGCCCGGATATCTTAGTTCTTCTTATCAGTGAATTTGTCCATGGATCTCACTGGGGGTAGATAAAACTTCCGGCAACATTGGCTCCCTTAACATTTCCTGCCTTGGCAACCATTTTTGTAGCATTTAATTTAGTAGTACGGGAGGAATTTTACAGTCCTCCCTCACAAGCAGTGTATAAAGAGCAGTGCAATATCATCACTGATCTACCTAAAGCGTGTATTGACACCCAGTCCCGGTTTTGACGGATGGTTGGAGCTGGGCAACTGATGGGAATGGTTTTCCGATTCGCTTTTGTTACCACCGAGTGCATACGTTTATACACAGTGTGGCTGTAAGCATTTGATGGCAGGATTCAGTGGAGCCATTGAGGCCAGATTGACTTGGGCTAACACTGTAGACGTGACCTGAGCCCCACATCCATCTTAAGACATACGGAGAGGGCCGGAACAAACTTTCACTAGCTTGCTTTGCTCTACAAAGAATCGTCATCATCCGAGACGGTAGCACCAGTGTTGAAAATGACGCCTCAAAGATTATTTCTATTTAACGCTCCAAAGTGACTTTGTACGAGCCTACCTCGAGCATTTCAAGCTGCCTGTATCTCCAAGCACGCAAACAATCTAGAAAGAATTTGATAGCACGAACGCCGCGGACATCAATTAGGTGCCATTTCGTGCAGTTGTGGGAGATTCCATGTTTAGCTTCCTTAGTTAAAAACTAACCGATCGACATAATCAGTCAAGGAACACCAACACTGTTAGTCGTCAATACATATGGCGTTGTCTAACACCTGGCCGGAACAAACTTTCACTAGCTTGCTTTGCTCTACAAAGAATCGTCATCATCCGAGACGGCAGCACCAGTGTTGAAAATGACGCCTCAAAGATTATTTCTATTTAACGCTCCAAAGTGACTTTGTACGAGCCTACCTCGAGCATTTCAAGCTGCCTGTATCTCCAAGCACGCAAACAATCTAGAAAGAATTTGATGGCACGAACGCCGCGGACATCAATTAGGTGCCATTTCGTGCAGTTGTGGGAGATTCCATGTTTAGCTTCCTTAGTTAAAAACTAACCGATCGACATAATCAGTCAAGGAACACCAACACTGTTAGTCGTCAATACATATGGCGTTGCTCTAACACCTGATGGAGTGTGAAGATATGGTCGACACAGCCTCTACCTGGTCAAAATCCCGCTCGATGCTCATTGGTTAAGGATCCGTGTGCCACTGTAAAACGACGAATAATCATTGGCGCCAGGAGCCTTGTTACTAACACCTTTGTGGATGATATACTGTCAGAGCGCCCACGCTTGGTACAATCACGGTCCTCAACCAAAGCGTCTGCCCCAGACGTCTGACCACAAGGTTGCGGGTGGGTGCACGCATACTAATACGTAAGTTCAACTTTTTTCGAGAAGCTAGTCGCCGTGCCTGTTCTGACCCCCAACATGGAACACCAGGATACTGTTCGTCAGACCTCTATCCAGTGATTAATCTGGTCTAACAAACTTTTCGGGTGTCAAAGTGGATCCTCCATAGTATAGCTCGAGGCACACAAACTTCCACTAGATGATAAGGTGCAGTCTCTTCACATTAAAAACAGTGAAGGACGCTAAGAGGTAGCTTGAGCCCTCCTTCTCGGAGCACATGGGTTTTCTTTCTTTGTGAGCCTGTTCAACGAACAGTTTCTAGGATACGCTGTTTCTTAGGTTTGGGGATCCGTCCGTCGCGATTTTGGTTACATAATTTTATTCAGATGACAGGTGTCACAGTTAACATTGTAGGTTCGTTTCGATGTCCAGTGGCTCAATAGACAATTCTGATCGAGAATTCCAACGGCAATTCCTACATATGTCCATTCTGGAGGTTCTCCCTCCACGTTGACACTGCATGGGTTATTAGAGGGATAAAGTCTTCCTTAGTAATACTTTTCATCATTCGGCTGATTTTCATGGGAGCATTTGCCTATTCAATTTGTTACATTGCTCGTTGCACTTACGTTATAACAGAGTGGGTTTTGAGCGCGCACCTACATCAGTGATTTGCGTACATGTTTTTCCGTTTCCGTTATAGGAAATCGGTCAGAACCATATGCAGATGCCCAAGGTGAGTCTACCGAACGACCCCTGTCTTCCGTTGCTTTCTCACTCTCAGTTAATAGCTGTTAATTTAGATTTGATTGTTTCCGTAGAACTCAAATACATTTCACTCTGTTTCTCAAGTCCTTTGCGTGGATTCATACAGAGTTCCTCGACCTTCGGTAATCGCTCTACTTTACACCACGCGTCGTCTCACTAGGCACTTGTTTTTATCTACATTACTCCTTGACGTTCATGGTTCGGTACTGAATCTTAGAGCACAGAGTAGTAGAGCAAACCGCTGAACGGGTATAAGGATAGTCTCGATGGGGGCATGTCTGACCCGTACCTGTGCTACGTCCGGATTATTCGTGACCAACGATGGCTGATCTGTCTCACTATCCATCCTGAGATAACGGTCTCGCTTTTAAGAACAGTGGAATGTCCCTTAGTTGTTACTCTGAGCCATGCATGTTCTTAGCTCAAAGACGTCCGTTTGAGCTTGTTGATTTCAGTACAATAAGCAGTGCTGGAAATGGAAACAACTGGTTAGTAAAACCAAAGCTTCGGTCGCCGTTATTTTTTGGGAACGTGGATCCATTTTGTCGAAGCGAGTTCCTATCCACTGGTTTTTCATGCAGTTTCGACCGTCCCGAGTTTATCGGTACGGCGCGTTCGTGGATGACCAGCATAAATATCTTTTTTCCAGTTGCCTAAGACCATCAGAAACGAGAGATTCAGCTGCGTTCCAGTTGAGTCTCTCGTGAAGCCGATTCGACATACAAATGAGTGTATTTTGCCATTTTGCAATTTTTTTAACATTGTTGCGTGCCGATGAGACTCATAAGGCCTGCCCGTGCGCCCAATAGATCACGCACTCCCATATGCCGTAGCATCAATTAACTGGTGGAGGGATAAAAAGGGATCCTCGATCACCGACGGTATCATTTTCGATGTGTTGTGATATGTTGGAATCTCGATTGGTTACTTCTAAAATTATTCGGATCACACGCTTATGGAAAGAGGTCAGCGTAACTGGCGTATTACGTCGTGAAGGTTGAAGCAGACCACTTGGTGGTCAATTCGTTAGATGGAACGCGTGTTTCCTAGGTGTGTAGTCAGTTTGTCAAGAGAACGAAGCGTCTCGTGTAATGTCCGAAAGATAGGTAGTTCAAAGTGGGATCTGAACGGAGTCCTGAATCGTTAAATTGGTTTACTTATGGATTGTTGGTGAATGCCGAATCGGTTGTCTATCCTTCCACAAACCTTCCTTCATTCAACTGACGTTCTAAGGCAGTGAATCTATCTTCTTGCTGCCGCATCTTCTTAGTAGCCAAAAAGCGATCGTCAGCAATCCTTACTGGTTGTTCGGTTGCTTCAGATAACATTAGTTCAACAGCCTTGTGGACAACACTGAAACAATCAAAACGTTGTGCGGCTTCAACAATAACTTTCTTTTGTAAAAGTAAATATTCGCTGACTGTAAATCGCACGAATATCAATGACGTGCCCCAGCTGCATGACACCCGACTTAACGTAATCCAATAGAAAATTTGCAAATAGCAACCGTCCAATGGGTGACTAGGCTTTGATTTTGAGCCAGTTCATCGCTTCACTTTTTGATCGATGGATTGAATATCCGACTTACCCAGTATGGGAGGCTTCATATCACTTGCTGAATTTCGACTCGGTCCGCTGGTCGCAGGTTGCAAAACAGCAGCCAATCTAAGCAAAATATGATATTTTCCGTCATCTCTGGCAAATCGCATTCCGCCATGTGTTTCACATCAATCAAACTTCACCATTCGAAGGTCTCATTCACGTGAATGGAAACACTGTTCAACAATCGACTTTCCGCGGTTGGATAATCGGATAGGTTTACTAATGTACCCAGTTGCGATTAATTAATACTTTGTGAACCATTGCGTGTTTTTTTCTCACCCCATTTAAACAGAACCGAATCCGCAAGCAAAGCTAACTCTCTCTCAAAAGGGTATTGTCCTTCCACCGAAGGGCGTCTAAGCTATCGTGGGCCTAATGAAATGCTATTAAGGCCATCTGTTTTTTTTATCGATTTCCTCGCTCTGGATTCGATGTAAAATCTGGTGCGTTTGTCCTCCTTTCTACTTCGGGAACAGCCACGTAACTGTCATCACTCAGGACGCGCATTTCAGAAAGTAACAATGTATCGCTGGTGTTCCCGTGCTCCATCGTACGGTCGTCTTGGATGGTGAGATGGGAGGAATGCTGTATCCTTACCTATCCCCCTCCGTAAACAAAAAATTAACTGACTCATTAAATGGTACCCGTTGTGAGCCTTCCATTAGACATAACCGAATCTTCAATTAAGAAATAAGCTTCGTGAAAATTCGGGGACAAGATCTACGTGATGGTCCCCAAAGTAGATGAAACTAGTGGTGGGTCGTTCAGCCTTTCCGTGAGTTTTATAGGTAGCGTAGACTGGATCGTTCGCAGAGATTTCATTCTAAGCCCCAATGGTCTTGGCTTGTTTCTTCCGCTCTGAGGTCATGTCAGTAATCCATCAGATCAGCCAGCGTTTTCCAATAACCGAATATCACCTCGTGGCGTTCATGAATCCTTGCTATGGGAGACTCCGAGCACCAAAATAAACTTCTGTATTTCAGTCAGTTCGAGCCCCCTCGTCTAAGGTAGTGAAACGTTTCGCAACCGGCGGACAGACAGAATTGTCATCTGCTTAGATGTCTCCCTCAGAAGCAGCAGCGGCTCCTAATTTCGTCTGGAACGATGTCCCTATGGTTTCCTCAGAACAGTCTTTGCACGGACTCACTTAGTCACAATGTAGCGTCACCGGTGGCTGCAATTCTAATGCTTTAGTTGACTCTGATGAATCTCTGGTCTCACATTCAAGGTAGGACTCATCAGTGAGTGCTGGTCGCGGTCCTGAGTGCAGTGGTTGAGTTCGTGATGTCCTGTCTACCCGGATATCGTTTTGCACTCTGTGCTCACACCGTATGAGGTTTCTGTGTGTAACATTTCTGTGTTGCTTATGACTTTAGCACGTGAACCGATAGCCATTTCAAATTAGGATGTCTCGAGTTGAATTGGAACGTAGAAGTAAACGGACTGCTAAGACATTTTTACAGTCAACACCATCGTGGAATTTACCGGTGGACTTCACCACTTCCTCAGGTAAGCAGTGCAAGTTTCAAGCCCGTCGAAAAGTGAAGATTTGTGGTGTTCCTTCTGATTATTAATTGTCGTGTGCTGCGTGAAATTCTGGAGTGAATGCGTGGTCTGCTCATGCACGACTCATGTGTACAAACTGCGGTAGTCAGGTTTCAGTTGTTATTGGCCACTCTTGTACTAACAGGGGGCGAGATGGCCCAAGTGGTTAGAGCGCGAATTTACTGATCGGAAGGTCCGTGGTTCGAACCCACCTCTGCCTCTCGACCTCCCCTGTGTAGGCTTGGGCAATCTGACAGTATCCCAACCCTCGTGTGGCACGGCAGCTAGACACCGAAAGGGTGTTAAAGCTAAACGATTTCGATTCTCGGACTAATACCATATTCTTCGCTAAATGGTCCCCTAGTTCAAGCTACTATCCATCTGCTTTGTGACCATCACGTCCCTCATTCTCCTCTCACTATTAAAGTAAGCCAGCGAAGAATCATGTTTTGTTGGTGTCGTCTTCTTTTAGAGGAAACTGCTTCAGAAAGCATCATACGAGAAGATGATTTATTTCGTTTTCCGGTCTTTACACGAAGACAGCCGTGAACAGTTGACCTAATATCAAATTTTGCAAAATTCTATCCCATTGTTTTGGTCATCTGGGTTTCTCAGAAGTGACCAGTTTGGTCTGCATGCACCATAATGACTTTGTTCAACCGACTCCAGTAGACAAGGCAAGTCGGCTCTGGGATTCTCGACAATGACCGGTGAATATTGTGAACGTACATAGTAACCCAGTATCATCTGGTACTACAAACGAAGCTTTAATCGACAGTGAGCTTCACCAGAAGTTCAGCAGCTTGTTGATGCTAAGTTGTTGTTCAGTTGGGACGGCTTAGTAGATGCAGTAGATACATTTTGTCTTTTACTTACCAGTTATGTGTTAAGCGTAACAAAGCTTAAAACGGGTTCCTTTGTGATGCGCTCTGTTCATTTTCACATGCATCCACCGACTAACATATACTGGGCACTATTCGGCCGGTAAGAAGTGAACATCAGCTTTGGTATGGTCGCGTAAATGTTTCGTGCAAAGTACTCATTGTTGCAGTAACATGAGTACAAAATTCTCAGGTGACCATTCGTATTTCCACCACACCACCGTAACCAACTTAATCATGCAAGCACCAGTGATTCAGGTGAATACGGAACCATGTGGCCAACTGGACTAGAAGTACAACGCGTTTGTCGTAATCATTGCTATTCAATACGTCAGAATAGTCCTCTGTAGTACACGGGCGATAAGGAGCAACGAAATAAATCTGAAATACTTCACTGAACAGCTCTATTGTATTCGATTTTCAAATACTTAATTCGTTTGGGTGCGATACTGCGGACAAATGTGATGCCAGAACGCAGTAAAACCATTCCAGCAAAGGTATTCTTTTCGTTCCAACACACAAGATAAGCTCAGTCGATCAAAACAGATAGACTATTGCTCTATCGACTACGTTCCTGGTATATACGTCCACGTTAGCTTTGCTCTTTTGGTGTCGTTCTCGTGTGGTAATGTGAACATCTTATGGCAATAGCGCTTCAGATGTGGTCCTAGTAAAGAAGATCTAATTTCCTCTGCGTTGTGTTTCCCGGTGGAGGGGGCACTTTTGGTCGACTTCATTGGCGGAGAAGTACTGTGTATTCTCCAACTATTCCTAGGTTGCAGAGCATCCAAGATTTTTTAGTGATTTGGAGCTAAACTTCGTTTTGCAATAACTTTTCAACCTGGTTTTCCTTGACCAGTGTAAGTGAAATGCCGCGAAATACTTTAATGAAGCCCTGTTGATCCTGCACTATATTACTGTCTGTGTTGATTTTTGATGGTTTGCCCCAGTTGAATTGGGATACTGTTTTTCTTTCCCAAACGCGTTTGATCCCGCGATGTCCAAAACTATCGCTTTTCTTCTAATTGGGTCACATTTAAGACTCAACATCGATCGTTCGTGACCGTGGTTACAACTAGGCGAGAATCAACTACGATTGATAACGAATGCTTGGGCTCAGTGTGTACTGCGTGGAACAATAACAATGTGTTACGATTTTTCAGGAGTTCCCTGATTTTCCTCGAGTGTTTTCTGATGTTGCTACTCTCTAACCGGTCTCAGCACTTCCCTTAAAGCAGTTCTCTCTGCTGCAACGGGGATTCATAATCGTTAAAAACTTCTGAATTGTCTCTAGAAGCTGTATGCTGATATTATTCGCGAGCTTTTTGTACTGGGATCCATTGATGATTCGGTATAAGGTTAGTCTGTATGGTGATTATACTTTACAGGGAACACCCACAGGCCGATTAGAATCGTCCTTTTTCACAGCGATATTATCCTCGGCATATGATAACCTGGTTTGCAGCCCATCGTAATCAGTTGTCTGACCCGTATTTACTTCGTTTCACCCAAATCAAATGACTTAAGACTTACGGCTCTATTGGTTGGCATTTTTCGCCTCTGTAATGGTACGTTGCCGGTTTCGCGTACTTCTCAGTTCAGATTTCGTCCCGTAGGTGAAGCCAGTCTATGTTGGGAAGCCTGCCAGCACTGTACAGCTGTTTCATCCTTATTTGGAACCAGCAATATTGAGTACTTCATTGTCTTTAGGAATGAAGCAGTTCTTTTAAACGGATTCAGTGATGAAAATCGGGATATGATGAAATCGTTTTCCCGTAAAAAGGTTTTCATGCTATCTCTGATGCACGCATGTTTCATTTCAAAATGTGTACATTTGTGCTTAACATCACACGGGCTTTTTTTTACCGAATTATCGCGATATCCTATAAGAAATGCTGAAGGAGTTGCTACCATCCTCGGTCAACATGTATTTTGGTGACGTCTGGTATGCTGTTTCGCCACTGCACACAATTTGCGACAACCGACGAGGAAGATTCTATGATAAATACTCTCTTTTTGTGCACAATAAATTTTAAGGTATTTTCAGGGGACAGATGACGAAATGTAGCTGTTTATTCAAGGTTGAAGTCTTCCTTACTTTTGACGCCACTACCCCTCGCAGAGTTCAACCACCGAACGATTTATGGCCTCTATCTTTCAGTACGATTACTATTGAAGTGACTGACTTGCGGATGATGACTCTCAAAATAGTTCTTTTGACAGATCCACAACTGACAGGCGAATTTGGTTGCATCTTATCGACTTCCGTCCTTTGAGATGTGACATCGCTCTAAAACGCAGTAGTTATTTTCAGGAGCTTCACGTCTTGTAAACTTTGATCAGCACCAATCCAACGTCAGTTTTTGACAGCTGCAGTTCTTGTGGTTTGATGGGATTTGTCTGCAGTCAATTAGGTTTTGTTTTGTTGGTTCTTTTGTGTCGATCATCAGACTGTGAGTGATGCGGTTAAAGCTTGCGAGATGGCTCTCCTCACAATTCCTCTGGCTTATCATTCACGTGAAGTTTTTATCAGTGCTATTCAATACGATCATTCTTGGGGTATTCAGCCGGTGCTTTTCATTCATAACTACAGTTCCCTTTTGAGATCATGACCGCTTGGTGAACGCATCTCATTTCACATCAGTTGTTCAGCTCTATATTATGGGGACGTTGGTTCTAAGTACAGTTTGGGTCCCTGAAAGAATACAAATCAGGAATGCATAACCAGGTATTGGAGACGACAGTGTCATATGTTGAGTTACTCTAGTTACTTGATGCAGTGTGGATTGAAGGCGGTAGTTTCGGTGTGAGAATGCGATAGGCTGCGTGACTGAGCCATCGATGTGTCAAGTCCTGGGATCCTCATTCTTAAAACAATAGTTATCAACCTGACTGCGTTTACTGTTTAGAGCTTCTATGCTTTGTTACGAGGACTGTCGGACTCTGTCATTTCCACCCAGCACAGCGATTAGCAAAAAAAGCTCTGTTGTGTAGGCACTTTTCTAAAATGCGACGTGCATGTACTGGCCATCGTATCCGATGGAGCGGGACTAGCTCATACAGCTCGATCAGCTCTTCTAGGAACAATTCCCGAACCTCAGCACTGCAAACCCGGTCTTCCTGCCAGGTCCAGCCACTGCCTCAGAGGTAGCTATGATAACGAACTGGGAGCTTTCGTGCATCCATTCAGCGTAGATACCACGTTCGCATCTGTTTTCTCTGCCCTTGACAGGGCAACTGTCACGTCAGCGCCATAGGTGTCGTAGGTTTGCAAAAGCTCTGCTGGCCTCCCTGACTCCTGAAGTGATCTCATATCCAGCCAGTCCACCAGAACTTTCACAACTACCCAGGTAAATAATTGTATTTACGACGTCGATTGGCTGATCTTCATACATGTGGTTTTGATTTGATCCAATCCAGTCTTGCAAGTTTACATTTCAAATGTGGAGTGCATGCCGAACCGTGCAAGAGAGCTATTTAGGTAATTTGACAAATGAGAGGAATATCATCTGCATGCTCAACGTCTGTAAGCGGACGCACCAGTGGTGTTTGGGCCCCTGAGGCTTCAGAATTAATCTGTAAGGTTAGATCGGATAAGTCATTGTGCTTGGAGTCTCCGTGATTGCTTTGGTTCCCAATTGCCTTTTGTCACTCTCGTCACGTCTGCTCATTTTCAGTGTCAGACTTCTGTCGGGTGATATTTTTCCGCGCAAACAGTGTCATTCGACTAGTTCCTGCGTTTGAAACTGCTGCATAGCACATGTGAGACCTCGAAACATTCTGAAGACATTGGACAGTTGTTTACACTCACCGTACCTTTGCGAGTTTCGAAGTATCGTCTTAGATGGGACTTCAGGTTAGGTCGTGGACAACCCATACGATCACAGCGGGTCATGCTTCGCCATATTCCGCGACGACTACAGAAATGGGCGAAAGCTCAGAGGTTGTCTGTCAGTTTAATGGACAGGGGTGCGAATAGGATTGTTTCGGTTGTCAGATTCCGTTGACCTAAAATTGATCAGGCAACATCTTGCCTTGGAGAAATTAAAAGATTAAAGCAATTATGCAATTAAAATATAGAAATTAAAACGCTGTTCACGTGGTGTGTATTTACTGCACTATCGTTTAGTTGCCAATCTATCGTTGCGCTCATGCACCAACTTACCTACTCCCGTACACTTTTCAGAGACCTAATCCAGATGATCTATACATAATTGGGTATACAAGTGGAAGTACTGGTGAGTTTTTCTGCAAGGACTTGGATATCTGTCTTATGAGCTCCACATTTCCGCTTACTTTGGTCGCCTCCATATGTTTGCCAACTTTTTGTATCGACCTTGGTGTTCTTTACACTTGGTGCAGACCAACCTTGTTAAATCCCGAAAACGATCCACGTTGGGACACCTCTCTCTGACAACTTTTATTGGTTTGGTCATTTATTTTGAGTTGATGTTTTTAGAACGTTTGAGTTCAGCCAAATCTTGAGCAACTGTTTAGTCGCTGTTTGTGCATGTGACAGTTTCAGTTAGCCTGCTGTCTTGTAGGATCTCATTCACTCGAATTTGAATTCTAGATTTGGGTGAGAAGTGTTGAGTCGATCAGCACAGATTCGCTGGTGTTAGACAGGAAACGGCTAGCGGGAGAAAACGTTTATACGGGTCAGGATGTTGCCGAACATAGGCGTTTTATCATCAGTAGCATAAAGTGGGACACGTTTCTCAGGCGCAAGTGATGGGGTGATCAGGTATTCAGCCACCTTAGACAAGAACCTGAGTATTCGAGCAGGATGATAGAGAGTTTTGTAATCAGCGAGTGCCGTTAGCTTTCGCAATTCTCCGTCTTTGGTTTCGGAGAGTAAAATGCATACTCTTTCCTTTGGAAGATATTATTCACAAGTTTTGAAGTTTAGAGCCACTGCATATCAAGGGCGGTTAAATTAGATTTGGGGATCAGGTGACTATCGGTAGAACTTCGAAGGCATGTATGAACACCGCACTCAGTGTAATTTCCTGGTACGCAGATCGGTACCGATAGTCCGGCTGAGCCGTATATGGGGTGACTGAGTTTATAGGGCTATTGATTGCCAACTTTTAACACTAGGCGGTACTGTCTTTTGGTTTTCCAAAGCCGAGGACGACGAAAATAAGCTACCCCTTAATGGACACCCAAAGCATCTTATGAGGAGAGTCAGCGTCGTTGCAAGCTTGGGACTGTGTCCTCTTGGTGAAATAACCTGTGTCGATGCTGCCGCTTGTTTTTTCAACTTTTATCAACTGGCAGCGAACCAGCTGTACGTCAATCGACAAATCGCGTGCTGATCCCCGCTGCGGCATGCATTTTTTCATCCGTATTCATATCCCTTGTACAGCAGTATTAATAGTATGGATTGAAGAAATCGTATTCCCGAGCGTTATTCAATGATGTACAGCGATCGTGGATATAACTAAATGAAGACTCTAATCTTACGGGTTGTTTAAACTGTTCTTTGCCTGTCCACTGTCATTTCTGTATCTTTGTTACTGAGATATTTCCCGCCAAACTGTAGTTCGAAAAACTGCTTATTGTTTTAACACCAAATCGCTTCCTCGATATGTTGTCACCTTGTAATCTTATTCTTTCTTTTTTGTATTTCCCGGTACATCAGGCCTACCAAAAGGCGTATTGTTCAGCCACAAGAATTGTGTGCTCGCCACGTTCTGCGGGACCCATATTCTAGTTAACTCGGTAAGTTTCAACTGCCGACCGGATTTCTTCGCAGCCTGACTACCATTAGAACGTAGTAATTGCACGGTAAACTCCCCAATGTGGCGATCGCATATAAAACGTGCTTGTTTTGCCCCACTGTACTGTTCGCCTGTATATGTTGACAGTAGTAGGTGCATCGGTCCAAATTGGGGTCATCGTCAGTTAGTCTTAGCCTGGTTTCAGCCGCTGTGCTGCTCTTGTGCTCCATTTTACCACCTCCCATATTTGATGGCTCCATTTAGGAGCCACACAGACCCTTTGGATTGATGTTTGTCATTATCTGGTGAGAAGAGTTCACTTGACCGACAACACCGACAACAAGACCATGTCCGTTGGCTGCAAACAGTTTTGGAATGCCAATCTGATGGAGTGCAATAATAGTTTATTTTGAAAAGGCGTTCAATGTGTTTATTGGCTTCGTTAGAAATGATTTTCTTGCCTTCTTTTCTGGACGGTCTCAAAATGTTTCGATTTCAAACTCCATATTGGATACTTTTGTTTGGTAGTGTGCGTCGCATCCAGACTTCAACTACACCAATCAAATATGATGAAAGGCCGATAGTTGCAAGCAGAACTCCGCACTGCTTAGTCTTTTCGACTGCTAGCCATCTTGACCACAACGGCGCATGTTTTTACCTCTGTTGAAGCACCGATTCCTGCGTGTCATTGTTTTCAGACACACCTTTGGAAGTGTTGATGATTTTGATCAGTTTTGTCAGGTGGTACCGGTAGAAAACACGAACTCACACCCTTTGGTTGCCTGTTGATCACCTGGGTTTGGAAACGTTCCATTGTGTACCAGAGAACATCCGAGGTTGATGTTCCGCGTAAAAAAGAGCTTTAATTCTCAAAAAGCACCAAATCTGTCGAGTTCCTGAGATGTTTGAAAAGCAACATCTCTGTGGACTAAGTTGGCAAATTATTTGCTAGTATTTGTTGTTTTAAAAGGTTTTGAATGCTACAATTTGGACTGCTAGCCATCTTGACCACAACCGCGCATGTTTTTACCTCTGTTGTATTTCGCCGCAACGAGTGCAAATGCCGAAGTTGATAAGTTTGTACACTCTAGAGCACCAAGTCACTCTCACCATCGTTATGCGATTGAATCGCTTAATAACGCCGTAACGAAACTGGTTACGGCCTTGGCTGAATTCATTTGACATTTAGTGTTGTTGTATCTGTGGCAAGCAATTCGGTTGCAGTCTGTTTAACCAGGGGAATTGCTCGTCAAGCGATCACTGTTGCATTTTATCGGATGCACACCAGTAGCCCGTTGAGCACTGTATCCCTATTGATCGTCTGGTGTTTATTGGTTCTGTTGCTCAGCTGCGATACCCGCATATTTCACACTGACGTGGACATTTAGTATCTTCCAGGTTACTTTACTGGACCGTGACGTTATATGCCACTACGGCAACGCCGGAAGCACTATTTATTCGGTTACTCAGTCGTGGCACTGCTGGCCGAGTTACTTCTCTCTGGATTCGCCCTCAACCAATGCATTCCTTTTGAAATTCTGATTTCACTTAGTCCGGTATAGCTTTGTTTACCTTTGTGGGCTTCTTGCAGTTTACAGCGTTCTTGGGGGAGGGGTATATTAGCTTCTTTTAGCTGCACTGATTGTAGCGAGAACAGAGTAACATCAGGCTAACGAGTGCAGCCTTTCCACATCTCATACAGTACTACGCATTTGTGTCTTTACGAATAAACCGACCCACACGAGGATAAGTTCTTTATTTGCGCTTCCCAAGGAGGATCGATTGACTTTTCTGTCGACACTTCGCGGCAAGGATATGACTCCTGGTTTCTCCTCCTCAAGGATCAATGATCGTCTCGCTGAAGCGATCTGGCTGTCCACCAGTAGTCGCATCATTGTCTGATGAAGTAATGTTGGGCTGGTTCATGCCATTTTTTACGCCTATCTGGTTAGGAACGTTTCGCACTGAAACACTGGTATCATTCCTAAATACCTTGTCTATCAACTTCCGAATAAGTTGTTAGTCTTGCTTTCCAACTATTTTTTACGCCTATCTGGTTAGGAACGTTTCGCACTGAAACACTGGTATCATTCCTAAATACCTTGTCTATCAACTTCCGAATAAGTTGTTAGTCTTGGCTTTCCAACTGTTAGACAAAAAGGCGTCCCCCTCATTTTTAGGACATCAAGAAATGAATTTCACTTAAATCAGTTAGCCTAGACCCATCATCCTTTTGGTTGAGTCCAGTACGCATCACACAACTTGTCCAATGAAGCTTAGACGAGAAATTCGGCTGCCCGGCAATGGAACGCTACTCATCAGACTTATGATCCGTTACACAATCATAATATCATCTTCGCAAAAAGCTCCAGTATGAAGGTCCCGTCTGTTCACGGGAAACGCCAGCTTCCGTGAACCAGAGAAGATAAAAGCAGAAATCCTTGTTAACTGTTTTAGAGCAGTTATTTCAGCTTTCAATAGGAAACATCGTGGTCCACTTCTGCCAATGATAGCTTTTTTTGTTCATCTGGAAGTCGAATAATTGCTTGACCTCTATAAAAGGTAGTTATTGTTCGTTAAAATCACCGTAAAAACACTTGTTGTAGTCATACGCGTGTACGTCTGCTTCTCCACTGGAGCAACTTCTTTACCAAGAAACATGTGCAACTAAGAAGCAGTTGGTGATCCGTGAGTATATTTCCTGTAAAGGAGTAGTGTTGTCTGTTGAACCGCCGTAGCCTCAACACTCCGACGCATCCGTTCACCGTCATCGACAGCATGACATCAGTTTTCAAAACCGATGCTTCACTGCCGCATCCGTTAAAGGAACACGTAAAGCCACGGCCACTGTGGTGTGTCATTCCAGTCAAACATGTTTTTCGGTGTTCGTATAAAATATTTGCACGCTCCCTGGACGTTCATGAAACCGCTCAAATTAGGGAAACGTGTAGAAATTCATACACTGGGATAGACTCGCTACGTCTCTATGAAGGAACTGTCTATTGTGGATTGTTAGTCATCAATACGCATGTGGAGTTATTCAAGTGAATTAATTGTATTTTGGATATAGATTCAGCTGGCGAATAGGTGGACGGTTTTGTCTCAAAATAATGACACAAAAGCATGTTACTTGTTTCTCCCTCTGTTTCCGACAGGCTATCACTGTGGATCAAGTCTCTCATTTTTCCTACCTGCCCCTTGCACACTGCTATGAGCGCATTAACCTGGTAAGTGATAAGATATCATTTGTGTTTACATCTATGCGGTATAAACGGACCATTATCAGTAACTGATCCACCCGCTTATATGTATCCAGCCCGGGGAACAACCTCTTGGTCGGCCTACTTACTTATCCAAACCAGCATCTTTTGGCTTACTCGTAGCATTGCCTCGTGCCAGATTCTTCCACAAGTCCACCTGTACTCAATATTGTCGACCTCGCCACCCTCGATCAGCAGATAACACTATTCGCTAGTATTCATCGTAGCCAATTTGCCATTGTTCCGTTGCTCACAGCATGTTTGCACTCATAAGTCGGATGATAGATGGCGCTATTTGCATAATCTGAACTGGTTCGAGAATGCATGTGCGCGTGTGCGTGAATGCAAACAACACTATAGTACCATTGGTAGTAATAATGTACACAAAAAACTATGAGCATCATGTATAGTCTTTGGCTGTAATACAGGCTGTACCCATCAGTGACTCTTCAGGCGGCACGTGCTTGTCAACTGGGCACCACAACGGTTCGCTATTTATGGCCCATTTGATCAAATCATTCATGGTGATTTCGCATTCATTCTGTAGTTATTTCTCTCAAGTGACTATCCTTTTTAAACCACCTCAAGACAGTGCGTTCGTCTCCGAGAAATAAACCAGTTCATCTCGTCCTGTTGGTGTTTGAGGGACCTTGCTTTACCAGGCCCTGTCGACCAACAATGCGTGGCTGACACGACACAAGAAGTGAATCATGGGCGGCCTCATTCACGAACCTCAGCTAATATGATCTCTCCATAGTACAAATCTGACCAAGCCAACAGATTCATGTGTGGTGATGTCGCCCCTAATATCTGTCGGCCTGATGTATCCGTTAGATGTTGGCTGGTGCAAGTCGCCTGGGAAACTCGACAAACTAGCCAACAGCTAGAGAGATTCAAATGTGTTAGAGTGCCCGTCATATTTTAGACGCACGGATGCTTAACTTTTGGTTTTCATCGTCAATCGCGTTTGGATGGGGTTTGTTGTCAATATGTAGACGGCCTGGTTTATCTGTCAAGCTATCGGTTATTTTTGCTTTGTTAAAATTTGGTTTCTTGCAATCGACACAATGTCCGTTACAGTTGGTTTAAGACGTTTGTTTGTTACTTCCTAACTACGTTGCCGCCACCGAGTATATTTGCGGAATGGTGTTTGGAATATCAGACTCGGTTTGGTCAGGAAAGAATATAGTTCGTCTGATGAATGTGACATAAGATAACACGTTTGATTTTTTTACTGATAGTGCTGGACGCGTGATCACACATGTGACTGTGAGGCACTAAATTTGGATTATCCAATTCATGACCACCAATTCGGAAAACCAAATTGTCAACTGGTTGTGGAACCTTAGGAATTTCTCCATCGGTACTGATTTGACAGGTGAAACCAAACGATCCTCGGTGAGGTTGTGCACAGCTCACTGAATGAAGAGGCAGTGGACTGAGCTGGTGGGTCGAACATAGTTGATTACTGTCCAACTCGGAACGAGTACATCTGAGCCGTCATAGGTGCTTTTAGGTCGATCACAAAGAAGCCGAACTGCTCAATAGCAGTTTTCTTCAAAATATCGGCTAAGACCTGATAGGTTTTGGTGGTTGCCGTTGTTACATGTGCAAAACGTCGGTTGTAACATTAAAAGAGTGTTATCGCCACCGTTTGTACCTCGAGCCTAACCGGACGACATCGCTCTCATGTTCGAAGAGGAGGAGAAGATGTAGGCGTTTTTGGATGAAAGGGCCAAAGTCATCCCATCCTTTGGTATACACTTTACACCCACAAAGTGTAAGGTCATGTTTGTGGACGTTCAGTCACTGGGCAACCCACTTACTATCCACGGAGAGGTACTGGGAGTTGTGGAGCGTTTTACGTATCTTGTAAGTTGTATTAGTTGTGATTGTAGTGTGACAGACGAGGTGAATGCACGAATCTGCAAGGCTCGGGCCGCGTTTGCTAACTTGAGACACCTATGGCGTCAGAATGGTTTATCCCTGAATCTGAAGGTACGTGTGTATCAAGCTACAGTACGGGCTGTTATGTTGTATGGCTGTGAGACTTGGCCTATTCGAGCAGCGGAACTGAGACGTCTTCAGGTGTGCGACAATCGTTGTCTCAGAACCATAACTCGTGTGGGTTGGTGTCGGCGAATCCGTAGCGAGGCAATCAGAATGTGGGTTTTCGGTTGTGCAACGGTTACTTCCATTGAAGAATGTGTCCAGCATCAGAAGCTGCATTGATTGGGACACGTGTTGCGTATGCCGAACCATCGTTTGCCGAAAAGTGTGCTGTTCTTCATGCCCAACTCAGAGTGGCATAAACAGAGAGATGGCCAACCCTTGGCTTGGCAGATGAGTTTGAAGGAGATTACGAAACACTTGGGTGCTGTCGGTGCTACTCGCCTTCCAGGATGGGGACCGCGTGATCCTCACTGTGCCTGGTTGGAGACACTACAAGATATGACTGCCAACCGATTTCAGTGGCGTTCTTGTTGTCAGTTTCTGCCCAGATTGCCTGAGTGAATGTCTGGAGGTGTAGGCACCTCTGAATGATTGTGTTAAGCTAGCACCAAGTCCCTTCCCTATTCACCTTTACTCCTTTCTTTACAAGAAGGCCTTCAAATAAATCATGTTTGTACGGCAGTGAAGCATCGGTGTTGAACACTGATGTCATGCTGTCGATGATGATGACGATGATGAAGCAGAAAGTGTCTATTAGGTCCACCGCACCTAGATAAATACTTAGGAAGGCCGCATGTGTACAACGTAATGCTATTCTTGAGGCCAGAGAAAACTCAAGGAAATAGTATATCCATTGAGCTGGAAGAACGCGACAGCAGTGCGAGTTTAGTTGATGTGGAGTTTGAATGAGTTCAGGTGGAGCATTTTCATCCAAGTGAATACAATTTCACCATGCTTAGACTAAGAGGTTGGGAATCGTTGTCAACGGGAAGCTATATAGTAGCAGAATAAGCGTGGAGATTACATTGCCAATTTGTGGACCAAATGGGAGATCAAGACAGGAGCATTCAGCTAAACGCTACGGGACTAATGCTTGTTTAGCAGCCCAGCGACGTTTTTTGTTACATTGAAAACGAAAATGAATAGCAGTTCGTTGAAACTTCGTCCGCATATAGTCTGTCGGTTTAAGAGGACTCCACTGTATAAAGTGCATCGGACAGCACCCGAGTCATCTGCAGAGCTGATGACTTCTGTCTGCAACAATGTTACCTGAGTGTGGTTTCGGAATTTATGATGACCAATTGTGGTTGTCTTGTTCGTTGTCGTACTGGGGACACAGCTAGAGCAAAGTCCTCATATCTGAAATGCCAGGTGCATCAGAGCAACAGCATATGACCTGCGGTGTGAGTTCTTTCCATCTTCAAGGCGATGTCATTCACAACATGACTAACAGCGCCTAGGGTCGTAACATTAGACTCGCGCTAACCGTACCGAACCGTCACCTCCCGTGCTGGTGAGGCACAGATGCGAAAACCACAAGGCAGCGGGCGTGCAACCAATCTTTGCTGCATTCTTTTCGGTCCATTTATCTATAAATTCGGTTAGAAAGCATAGAAGCGAAGCGAGTTGGAGGCCGCAGGGGCATGCTTTGTGGCTCCGCGAGAAGTAGGTCGTTGCAGCCTGTCTGTTGACTGATAACACCTGCGAAATGAATGCTCTAGTAGGAGGTTTTCCAGCTTGGCTACATGTGCAAAGTACGAATAAAGTATAAAAAATAACAGCCCAAGTTTCTTCTGCTCTTTTTTTTTACTAACTTCGAGTATTTTCTTCCTTATTTGTGCTAACAAAACAGCAGAATGTCCTTTCGTCTCATTCTGAAGGACGCGCGCGCGGTGAACAACAGTTTGAGTGACACTGGTGTAGACGGAGTGATGTGTAATGATTGACCTCAATAAATATACATTTGGGCGGATCTATTTTGGGCGTGTCAACTGTTTGCGCAAAAGCCTCCGATAATATAGAATGTAGGATTGCAACACTGAATGACGCTACTCGACTGTAACGCAGGCCAACATACTCTTCTGCGCATCTGATGGAAAGGCTGAATCCAGCAGCACAAAGATTCAGTGAATTTGACTCACCGCATAAAATCGTTATGTTTCTCCGCAGTACTCAAGTCATAAACTTTGCGATTTCACTCTTTAGTAACTTTTGGAGCATGATCGTGATGGCAGCTTATTCCGCATACCGCATCTTTCACACAGCTAAGAAACTCAAGATGATCATGTTCGGGGACTTGAAACCCATGTAGTGAAATCTCATGGAGACACTACTCTGGCGAAACTAACTGGTTTAGAGACAGAGGAACGCTTGTTTTGCTTTATCAGGACTCTATGCTGGTTGAGGGCAAATTCTATGCAGGAGAGACTTTGTAGCTCTGATCGTTTAGTTTGTGGCCAACTTGTTCGCTGAGCTTTCACCAATCGTCTGGTCATCAATCGAGGTGGAATCATGAGTTCATCAACAAGAAGCTGAGCGGAGCTATGTGTTATGGCTGAGAACAACCTTTCGGCCTACTGAACGCAGTGTTGTCTTCACCCCCTACTGGCGACAAAACTTTTGCAGCAAAATTATCAAGCTCAACGAACAAGTCGATCAATGACTGGTTTCTCTTTTTTCTCGCTTCACTGGATGTTGATTCAGATAAAATTATATACCTCAGATGTTGCGTAGTGTTTGGTTTGGCTCTAAAAGGAAGCTTAAATGTTTGAGAACAAGGGATGTCTTTCATCTCACTTCGATCTGTAAACCCATCTAGTTTTGGAAATTGGGTTGCAGGAATGCTAATGCCTTTTGTCACCCTACTACTGTCCAGTCTCTCAGTAGCATAACACTATCGACTTCACTATTCCATCCAAGACTACGTTCCTATATGCTGGTGGACGGATTGGTTTCCTGACGGACGACGTGACTGGCTTGCTTCAAGACCTTCAGGCCTATCGTCCCTGCTATTTGACTTCGGTTCCTCGTGTGCTTATCCGAGTGTACAATCAAGTATTGGAACGTGTGTCATCATCCAAGATTCTTCTCAGACTATTTCACTGGGCGATCAAACGAAAAGTGGAAGAGATGAGAAGGTCAGTTTGTTCGCGAATCATTATTTTTTCTAGCTCACAATCCAGAACATGGGTGCAGTGATTTTATTCAGGTGTATTTTGTGCGCGTCATTCGCAAATAATCCAACCAGCGTACCTTCTTACCACCTAACAGAGGAGTATATCGAAGAGCCGGTATCCTAGACTACATTTTCTTCAAACCCGTTCGTGACAAGACCGGAGGCAACGTCCAAATCTTGGTTTCAGCCAGTGCTCCAATCGCAGACGATGTGCTTAACTTCACGAGAGCTGCGTTCGCTGCCCCGGTAAGACACTATTGCTGGCCTGATTTCCATTCGTTCTTATTTTCTTCTGTTATCATATCTCTCCTCATCCGCCATCACGAAGTGCAGCATTTCAATGTAGTGTCGACGTAGCCAAGGTACGCATTGGCCAGTCTTTTATATGGATGTCTGTAAATCTCAGCGAAATCGTTGTCCTATCTCTTACCAGACACGGTTAGCGCCCTTGTTGCTCGGCTTTCTTTTGCCGGAACACAATGAAGAGGGGAGCGTAAGAAAAGTTCACCTCTTAAATAAATCACGCTTGTGCATGCGTAGGAATAAAGATGCGTAATTTGTTAGCTGTTGTCAGGTGGGACACGCGTTCAAAGGAGTAGATGCATTGTTGCCTCAGGGGAACGAGTTCCTGCAAAAAAGTACCTTCACCACATGCTTATGAGGTTATCCGAGTTGCCGGAAACGTACTGTGGAGAGGAAGTTGGCAGGTTAGTCCAGCTTCCAGATAATAGTTCTGCTAAAGTTTGAAGAAATCTTCAGGGAAGGCAAACAGTTCGGAGTGAATTGCTGAGTAAAGCTGTTGGGTATGCTGGACGATCGCCAACCGGAAGATGTGCGCAATTGATATTTTCTCGTCCACAGGATAGAATTCCCGTGCTACTGGATGCTAACCAGTCTGGTTGAAGGATGTCAGAGACCGCTTAATGTCTGTTCAAAGCTCATTTGAATTTTTCACTCACAACAATCGTGTCACTGGGTCATAAGACAGTAAATGTTCGAACAGGTGGTCGCATGGAAAAAAAGATTGAATGAAATTATACCTTGTGTTTGGCGGGTGAGATCTGGAAACAGTTGTAGATGATTGTCGATAAAAATTGGTTGAGATGAATTCCAACAAAACGTGTGCGCGCTTCGCACTCAGTTGAACAACACCACAAATGAACGATAGCTTCATAGTCGTGATCAACGCCAACTCAGTCTTTGAATCAGTTAGAAATACTGGAACAAGTCTTTCAGATCCTAATTCCTGCTACAGCACACCGCTTTAGTACAGCCGTGCAATTCCAAAATAAGATTGACTGGCTTCTTTGTGAGGGTGGGGCGAGATGGTTCAAGTGGTTAGGGCGCGAATTTACTGATCGCAAGGTCCGTGGTCCTCTTGACTTCCCCTGTCTAGACTTGAGCAACCTGGCAGTATCCAAGCCCTTCGGGTAGCATGGCAGCTAGGCACCGGAAGGGTGTTACAGCCGAGCGATTTTTTTCTTTGCGAGGGTCACAGCACTGTGCAAGGCTCAATCTAAACTTCACATTGTACCTAGTATGCTCACTGTTTCCCAAGATCCCAGGGATTTTTATAGTTTTTTTTCCACTCTATTCAACAGGTCATCGAGTGTTACGGACTGACGGAAACCAGTGGAATTTTGAGTGCTACCTTGATGGGAGATTTGAATCCGGGACACACTGGCACCCCGTATATCGACTTTCAGATCAAACTGATTGATGTGCCTGAAATGAATTTGGTTGTGAAACGTGACGGTATGGGCGAGGTGAGTATTTTCTTTTAGCAACGATGTTCGCTAGCATCCGAAGACGCACTTCATGGACCAACCTAAGAGATATTTTCTTTGTTGGAGCAGCCCGGGCAATATAAAATAGGGAAACAACTCCAGTTACGAGATGACAACAAATGTGAACGGTGCGAAATCCCACATTCTAGGTCATAGATCACAAAATGCCATCAGAAAAACCTTGGTTAAGTGGATCAAAAAAGGGAAATATTCAGATGTAAGACGCCTTCATGGATTACTTGACCATGAAGGATCTGAAAATGCTAACAGCCCGAAATGAAGGTCATTGAGATATTGCGTGGACATAATATATTACTCATGCGGTCGCTGAAAGTTCTTTAAAGAGAGTGATTCAGCTGGATTCCAGGTGAGTCTTTAGTCAAAACCAGATTGCATTAGGCTATCGAGACAGCTGTGAGGTAAACCAGATTCATTAGGCTATCGAGACAGCTGTGAGGTTGCTTTCTGCATTCAGGAGACTCCGTGGCGGCGAATATTTCTGAGATTGCCACATGACAACATTGGTCTTTGCATTCATGGAATCTTCTGGAGTGTCAAACCACACCGCCACCGCCATACTTTCGTTGTGGCGAAAAATTTCCAAGGTGTTCAGAACAGTCATACAGTCTAAGAGGAACTTGATGCAGAGATCCATTTGGGGAAGGGGGCGGGCTAACTAGGTGGTCACTCCCTAGATTTCAATCTATTTGGTGTGCCAATTCTTTGCTAGCTAGTTGTGGAACTGTCAGGGACCATCATCAAATACTAGTCATAGATACTGGTTCTCGACAGTAGGAAATTTCCGTGAAATTGGAACACCCCTTGGACAGTATGGTTTGTGTCTGGCTCATTGGCATATAATTTACGCAGTCAGCTGATATGCGGCACGGGGAAACATTAATTCCAGCGGCTCTTTCGTAGTCTTCACCCCAAACACTACTTTTTCTAAAAGATTTTTGTGTCCAGTTCCTTAGACATTGCTCACCACTGCCGAGTGTTCGACAATCACCTGTTGTCCATGAGCATTTATTGGCGGTTTGTTTATTCTTGTGCCCACTAGTTTTGATGTGTTGTTCCTTCGACGTTCGTCTTGTGTGTAATGAACTTTTGAATTCCATATACGCAGTGTCTGGCCCGTTGTAGTCAAGGTTCGCACTTGGCGTTAGACATCAGATTTTTCTGCTTCATACGCAATGGTTGTTATGCCAATCTGCTTCCCACCTAGTATTGATAAATGCGGTGATACTCATTTGACGCCTAACCGGATCTGCCGGGTATATACTTGATGTGTGTTTTTGTCCCAATTTGGATCACTGTTCGACCAAACGCCCCTGCTTGTGGCTAAACACTGGCGAGACAACACCGTATAGGTTAACGGCTATCCGTTAGGATAGCTTGGGGTTAGTCGCTTCTCTGGGCTATTCCCGTGGAATGAAGTGTTACTGATACGCAAAGTTTACTTTATTAATCTTACGCCTATTTGGTCCGATCATGGTGAGTTTCTCATGATTTATCGGTTAGGAACTCGGGGATTTTGGACATGAAACCGGATCGGATGTTGCTAACGAAACAGGCCAGTAATTATTGTCAGTAGTAAAAAGGATTAGAATACGTTTAACCTAAATCCGTTTGTCACGTGCCCAATTTCATTCTTCTCCAATTACAGGAGACGGATATAAACTATGCCTAAAGTTTTCACGCAGATTACAACACTCTGTTGTAGCAGCATTCTTCCTAGCTGCCTCATAAATCCTCAGTTTCACTACCATGTTTTATCCTTTATAGCTTTACCATAACTCTCTGATTGTTTATCACCAAAAAATAGGTTTAATAAATTTCCTGTCTCACCAATTGATTTTGATCTTGAATGAACGGCGCTTTCATGCCACTAGTGTGATCATGTAGATAAATGCCAACATACCACAATGGTGTGGTGACTAACTAAGGGCAAGTATTTGACAAATCTTGCAGCCTGACTTCTCCAAAGCCTTTAAATGTGTTTCTGCAGCGAAAAGAACACATTCGCTTAAGGCACTGGTTAACTCACCTCTTCAGTATAAGCTGGTCTGTAGACGTTCCCCCGATTGATTTGTTCGTTTCGCGCAATTGAGCTAATCCGACACGCAGGTCCCTCAATATTGCCTGTATTCTAACCACTATGTGACGGCTGCGAACTAACTCCCGCGAACCGGATCGTGGGGACAGTGGATACTCTGCAAAAGGAATTTCGACTTACATCAACTCTTTTTTCATTTAGCCGAACGTCTCAATAGTCCTACTCAATGGTTACTGTTAGACAGTCATTTTTTTAAGAAACAAGTCATTTGGACTTTTTTTGACGGCTTGTGTGAAATTGGGTTCTGTCGCGGGTTAATCTAGTGTATTTGTCCTGTGCTATTTCTCAATGATAACGTTCACAAACCATTGAAGCATGGTCCCGTACATGGGAGAACACCCCCTTAATGTTTTGCAAAACAACTCGATGACTTTTTAGTTGTTTGTTGCTGATCACTTGAACCGTGAGGTTTTCCTCCCCTGTATGCAAGGACATTTTTGTCATAAATGTATGTCATAAATGTATGAGCTGGAGGCCTTACAGTACTGTTCAGCTCACGTGAGCCACTTATCTAAATATTGTAGTTGTTATACTACTCGATGTTTGATTGACCGTAGTTCTTCACATCGTCGGGAGCGAATGCGGCTGTGGTACTTTGCGCGTGACAAGGCTTTTCTAAGCCGTCAGTTCAGTACTTTCAACTTTTCATTCAGCCACCGTGTGACCTTTCTAAACACTTAACAGTGCTGGATGTAGTCACAGTGCACCGCTCTGTTCCCTCTCTGATACTACTGTATGTATGGTCGAACTCTTCTACTTGATCATTTGTATGTTTTTGGTCTTCTTGATTAAACATTCCCTCAGATTTGCGCCAAGGGTTCAGCCTGCACAAAAGGCTACTACAAAGATGAGGAAAACACGAAGAAGTTGTTCGAGTCTGACGGGTTCTTGCTCACGGGGGATATTGGAACCTGGACTCCGGTGAGTACTATCTATCGTATGAACTGGTTGCTCAGGTCGGGTAGTATTCAACAAAACCGCCCGAGGGTAGAATCACAAAAACTTCAGAGTGACTTTTACCACATTTTCCCTCGCCATTCCAACCTTTCTTTAAGTGGCTCTTTTAGCTTCGTAACTTTATCCTGGTCCTGCCCGTTTGGACCAAAAACGACACGATATTTTGGTATGTTTATTAGATTCATCGTAAAACACACCGAATTTAGCTGGTGAGCGCATAAAATCGGTCATTTATGTAGGTCTTCAGCCTCTAAGATACAAGTGAACTTGAGAGAACATCCATGTTATTTAACTGAAGTACACTAGTCCTTTGAAACGGATTGCGACTGGACAGTGTGAAACTCATCCGACGAGTGGGGCGGTTAGTCTCTTCATGAATGCTTACAATTACCAACGTCATGCCATACTGGAAGCAGAAGTGTGGGCTTTCACAGGATGTCCACCGTCAAATGCACAACCGTCATCCTTTTTACCCAGAGGTCAATGATTCCACTTTAGATATACACGTTTCCACTAGTCTGCATTTTCCCGTATCGTTCTCTTACAATCGCATGTTCAACGCGGAGCGAAATGTTCTAATAGCACAGTCATTTCCCTCAACATTGTGACTTGTTTTCAACTTAAAGTCATCAAGTTTGGAAATTAAGTTTCTCGACCAGTGAGATACCCGATGGGGATTTGTTAACCTGAGTTACAATTGAAAGCGTGCAGACGTCAGCCAAAGTTACCTTGACCTTCGAACACTAACCCAATTTTTGAGTCCACACTATTTAACGAGCGATGTTCACTTGGCTTACAGTAAGCAGCTTAGAGCTCACGACTGACATCAGTAGTGTTTATATACCACTTGTATATATACCACTTATTACCAGTAGTATAATTAATCAATCGCTTCAGCTCGAGAATTGTTCGAAGTTGTCCAAGTTTTTGACAAGGACAAAGATCGTCCCTGATACAGAATGCACGGGTGATTGTCAAGAAAATCAAACTGTCAAGCGCCTTCGTTCGCAAGTTTTTTGTAAGCTTTTGGGTGTCTCGTAGGGGGAACCTCGTAGCTAACATAGATTTTTCAAGAGGGACTGACAGGCTACAGCGGTGAACATGTGAATGAATGACAATATATCCTAATTAAAGAGATTGCATGCGCCGTAACGTAAGTACGACAGTCAGTACACTCGTCCCCATTAGTGAGTTTTATGATGGTGAACAAAGTTTTCCGGTTTGAAGCAAGATGGATTGGACACTTCCACCAATTGAATGGGAGACCACGTGATTTACTAACGAGAAGCTCAATGCCGATGGTCAAGATAATCGGATACACTACGTCCACGACCTTGAAGAACCGCTTCCGGAATTAGGAGCTACTTAAGTGCTTTTCAGTGGTCAGGGCAGCAAATTTCACCGTAAGAACCAGATCACTAAGGTCGTCAGCACTAGAAGGCAGTAAGCTATTTTTACTATGCATACCAGCCAATTGATCTGGTTAGATGACACTTCAATGTGATGGCGCTTCTATACATTTGGCCCACCTCCAAAACCCTTGACATGCGACTTTTACGAAACCATCTCGCAAACCACATGTTAATCTGCTTGAGAATATGTGCAGAGCGAGGGATTGTATCCGAAGTGCATTTGATTCACCGTCAAGCAATCCATTTTGCACTGTGCAGAGCGAGGGATTGTATCCGGAGTGCATTTGATTCACCCTGTCAAGCAATCCATTTCGCACTACCGAGAGTGCCCGTTGTACTGTAAAACAACTTGATCTTCGCAAGTCAACGAACTAGAAGTCAAAAAACTAGTCAACTGCCTTATTTTTACACGGATCTTTATAAATGCTAAGCGCTTGTAGTCATAATCGGTTTGTCAGCTTCGCTTGTCCCTTGTAGACAGTCTTCTGTCATCAATCTCATTCACCATTTTTATTTCATCCACAAATGAGGCGTTCAGTGCGAGCGGTTTAGGATACTTATCATCTGTTTCATAATCAACTCGAGTAAAGATATACGTTTTCCAAACTCAACTCTCCTGGACTACTGTCTGGCTATTCCATCTGCCCATTCTTTTTGCGTGGTTCACTGTTGTTTAAATGAGGTGAACTGATATCAACGAAATCTTCAGCGCCAGAATCGGAATGCTCGTTATTGGCATTCGAATAATTGTACCTTGAGCACCTTACCGGCTGCATGTTTCATACACGACAACGTTACCGCAAATCAAGTAATTCCCGTCAAACAACTTGTATCATTACGTCATATCTGGTCCAAATATGGAAAGTGTAGAGAAAATAGCCGTGGGTAGTGGAAACGAATGCAAGGAATATACAAAAAGTCGATAGTAGCGATCCTCTGCGATTGCGCGGATTTCAATGGGACACACTCAGTTGGACCTGATGTATGGATAGAACGGAATTGGTTGAATTCGATGCAAATAAGGGTTGTGGGGTACATGCATCAACGCGTTAGTATACTTGTCAATATGTCTGTAATTTCTCCATACCTAGATCAAACAAGTAATTTTTGCCACCGAGCCATACTAGAATGCAAAATACTAGAATGAAAAAAATCAGTAGTTTTCGGAGAATGGTTGTTTTTCTGGGCGGCGTGGATGGTTACTGCACCGATAGAAAACTGTCTCAACAGTTTTTTCTCAAAAGTGGCGGTTTTCATCAACTGCTTGGATAAATCATTCTGCAGCAGCTGATGTAATTAGTGGTCCCGGAGGTCTATCGGATGTACCACGCCACAGCACAACCACTAACCCCGCTGCTACGCACCACCATGCTCCCCAATAACGCACTGATGATGTCACGTTGGTTGGTGATGAAAGATTGGCAATCAAATCGCCTAGTTCAGCGAACAAGTCAATGACTATAGTCTGCTGTTTATCACCTCATGATTTACCATGAAAAATGTCTTTTTTGAAGGTATTGCAATTTTCACAAGATGTATATATATATATTGCAATATGTATTGGTAGTTCATCGCGTCATACTCTCTTTCTCGTATCCTTTTGCGCAATTAGGAGGGGTCTCTCAAAGTTGTTGATCGGCGTAAAAGCTTTTTCAAACTTGCCCAAGGAGAGTATGTAACGCCAAAGAAGATCGAGGAGATATATAGTTCAAGCACGTTGGTCGGTAATATCTACGTTGACGGTGATTCACATCAGTTCTACGTTGTGGCAATCGTCGAACCGAACTTTGTAGAACTACGAAAGCGACTCGAAATTCATTCCAACGGCATGATGTGTAATGGTACTGGGACGTTATCCTCGTCTGACAAGACAGTCTTTAGTCTCCCGGTTGCAGCGATGACAGATAAGGAGCTTTGTGAAAATGAGAAGGTCCGTGAGCTAGTGCTGAACGAACTCACAGAGATTGGCAAGGAGCGCGGACTGAAAGGATTTGAGCAGGTAAGTTTTCCGGAACTTTCGTGAACTCTGACCGCTTTGCGGTTTGAAAGGGGAGGGTTCGTTCTGTAAGTTCATTTTACCCATGGCGAGGGGCACTGTACAACTGTTCCTCTCTTGTTGGAACATGTGTAGTGACCATCTCCCGAATCTCCGGGGAGATTTGAACCCGCGGCCTCTCGGTTAGCAAACTAGCCTAACCCTTCCGCCACATGTTGTTCATCAGTGTTGCTGCGGTCAACTTGCACTCATAGCCGGAAGATTTGGCCTTTATCTACTAGCCTGAATGTTTGCGAGTTTTGTGGGTTCCAATAAACATGAAGCAGCTGTACAGTGCTTCTTGTTTTTCGGACCTAAATTGACTCCACTCATAGGATGAAATATCCGTTGAAAAAAAAGAAAAACGAAGGGGTTGTGACGCAAAATGCATTCCCTAACACGTTCCTCTTTGGCATGATTGGCGTCGTTCGTTGTGCAGTCACTTTTGTGACCAGTTGTCGTCTGAGAACTGACCAGTGCTATCCCACACCGCGAGGTTGTCCAGTTGGATTTCCAGTGTGAGACTACTTTTCAGCAGACCCGTTGTGGCTTTCTTTCTTTTTTTTCGGATGTCTTCCCTCAATCGTTCCGTTTGTAGCTTCTCATGTTATCTCATAAATGTATCGACATGTTGTTACTTTACCCCCAAGGTTGTTTCTGTGCAACTCTCGCGCTTATGTGCAGCAGGCTCATTGTTCTGCCGAAACAGCGAGTCAGCGGTAGATATCAGTGGGTGAGAACCATGCAGATTTTAGTTTTGTAGCGGTCTAGTCAACAAGTTACTGGATCATGTCTTACCTACAGCGTACTGTGATCTCATTGATGTGAGAGGTACCACTGACAATGCACGTCACATCGTCATATGCATGATATTTGGATGCGCTGAGGTTCTCATCGTGTTTGATTGGGCTGATCACATGAGTGACGTTTAGTGTGTAGTTTTCAGTGGGTGCAAGCAAACTCTCACATTTACTGTTCCTTCCCCCAATAGCGCTTCCATAGGCTTTTTCGCATCACTTCATGTCAAATTCCATGTATTCTACTACTCTTCAGGTAAAGGCCATTCATCTCAGTGTGGAAGCATTCACCGTCGCCAATGGGATGCTGACACCTACAATGAAGGTAGCAAGGCCGAACGTTCGTCGATATTTCGCTCCGATCATTCAGGGATTGTATGATGGTCACAAATAATATTCATTTACTATGCACACACACACACACACTCATGCTGCTCGCCATTTACTGTCGGCCTCATTTCGGGTACAACCCAAGACTTTCCTCCTATGTCCACACACACACACTCACGTACAGCTTTGAGTAAATAAAAAAACCAGTTGAATTCCATCTGGATCCATCTTTCCTTTCTGGCTGTCTCTTGACATGACGGAATACAGTTGTCCACCAAGTCGGTTATGAACCGTGCTTGATATTCCGATGTATTTTCTATAGGGTTTTATCCATTCAAACGACGCTGGCACGCACCTTCACACCCATTTTCGTCTCTGTAATCCATTTTCGACACGGCACATTTTCCAATCTGTTCTTTGTGCATATGATCTGTGATTCATGTGCCGTTCAATTCATTCGCCAATAAATTGTTTTTGGGACGAGGCGCAGACAATTTTCGGGTCCACGAATGCCGACATTTTGACTCTGTTACTGGGAAAGTTGTTGGTAAAGAGGTGTTTTGTGAATTCGTAATACTATCGCAGTCTGGCTTATGACAGCACAATAGTTGGAGTTTGTGGCATTTCATTCGAACGATGTGGATCTGGACTTCCGAGTGTAACGTTATTAGTAGGTAATAAATCAGTAGGGATAAAAGTTGTACCGTCATCTCCTTTATACGGGGCGAGATGGCCCACGCGGTTAGTGCGCGAATTTACTGACCGGAAGGTCTGTGGTTCGAACGCGACCTCGGCCTCTCGACTTTCCCTGTCTAGGCTTGGGCATCCTGGCAGTATCCCAGCCCTCGTGCTTCCTTCGGGTGGCATGGCAGTTAGGCACTGAAACGGCCTAACGGTCTATACGGTCCTCTCCCTTGAAAGTTCTAAACTTTATCAGAGAACAGAAGGGGTCAACTGAACACGGTGCCAACCGCATGCAAGCTATCAGATCTGAAGCAACTACAATTCTTACTCTCATGATATTTATGTTTATAGTCGTACATTTTGTGTAATGGATGTCAATATTACCTGGTGCCAGTTGATTTCTCGTGAACATATCACCTTGGATTAGTAGTGAACCTCAATTTTAAGGTAAGACTTATCGGTAGTCCAAATTGAATTTTTTAACAGAAATTGTGACATTTTCTTACTCAGACCATTGACGTGGAGTCATAACGTTACAAGGACTTTGATTGTCGGCAGACCTTTCAAACTTTGTGGAAATGTATCTTAGTGTTCTAGGCATTGTGGGAAGTTTGAAACAATGCAGATATCTGCGGGGACGCTAACGTTAGAAATAAGGTCCATCGCCCTGTCGAAGGATCGATCGCAGTTCTGTTACAGTCGAACAACCGGCCTGATAGTCCGTTAAATTCAGTTGTAAAAACCACCCTGTACTTTCCTGTGGTTTCTCCGCCATTCACTTAGGCAGACTGATAATACCGGACACTATGTATGCATATAAACACACTGAATCATTTTCTCTCGATTGCTGTCGATATGGGGACAAGCGACGCACCAGTTTAACCTTCAAATCTCACTAGCAGTTGCCTTCTTTTTCGTAGTATCAAGTATCCGAAGCGGCCGACTGAAAATCCCTCTTCAAGATCTTCAGTCTATTCACGCTACCTGCCACCGGGTTCTTCATATATGATCATTCTCAACATCACCTCTTTTCGGTTAACGGGACGGTTTGTCCAACTACAGTGTCTTTAACATTTGACAAGCGCAATTTTTATCGTAAGGAATTCCCCAGCTATGACCCGGGTTTCGCCACGACATTTTTGTTCTCCCCTACGCATGTAGCGGATTTTACTACCTGAACCAGAATATCATCGTCGTTTGGATGAAAAGATCTGGTGGACAAATCGTTTTCTACATTCCAGTTAATTTTATGCATCTAGGTTGCGTTCAAATTGTAGACTTAATTAGGCGACTGTGGTTGAATCACATGACGCGTGCGCGTTGCCAATCAACTATATACGGATTGCTTAAAGTTGAAGTTAGTGTAACATTCAAGTCGTTGGCACCGATGTCGACCGAGGATAATGAGATTGACGGTCGAACGTGCGTAGGTCAAACGTGAGCCGTCGCTCATTTTTCAATGCGGTACTAAAAATTAAAGTTCACTACTATTTATAATTGAGTAGCACAAAATTCCTACAATCCAGTCTTCAAAGTTGACGCGTTGGCTAAATGTCTGATTTCACTTGCACCAGTGGTACGCCATACCGCAACACTGATGGATTGTTCGTAGTTTAAGTTTATTCGGGCTGATTGGTAAGTTAGACTCACGGAAGATGATGCTACCACTTCGGAGAGGGTTACATGGTTTCACAAGGCAAATGTTGTATGAAGTTCATCGAGTCCTCATTGCATTTATCTGTTGGCGTAGCCTTATAACAAGAAAACCCTACGTACCGTAGAGTTCGCTATTGTGCCTGTCAGCGACCCTCCTAAATGAGCGTTTACAGTGATTTTTCACGAGCGATTACCACAGTGATTTTTAATTTCTCTTCATAGGAGCACATTAGGGCTTGGCGACGCGGGTTGCTGTTTTGGACCCTTGAAAAGAATACATTCTATGTGAGTAAACCCATCCAAAAGATTTCCTATAATAATGATGCTGTCAGCAGTTAAGAGAACTTTGGGAAGTCAAAGCTGGACACCCAAATACCCATCGTTAAGAGCGAAATCACCATCAAACACACGTGCTTCACCGTCGTACAACCGACACCCTTAATTTAAAAAAAAACCTCTGAACAAAAGACTAAATAGGAATGTTGAAGAACCCATGTGGTCTTCTGCAAGCGCGAACACCATCTGGACAGAAAACGACCATTTAAGGCTGTTAGATTCGGTTTTCAGCCACACCTGGTTGCATCTTCAGTCAGGCACACAGTCGTTTGTATATTCTCTTTGCACACCTGCTAATCCAAGTTGTCTGAGTACAGGCGGCTTCCAGTCTCATTCCATGTAAGATAGCACCGTGATGTGTGGGTGCTGGGTGCTTCTTGTGTGGTCCGGTGGCAGCAAGACTGGTTACATTACATTTTTCCCATGTCTTCGTTCCGATCTGTATCATCAACGGACAACACTTACCTCCATGAAAGTATAGCTCGAAATCGAAATGTCACTTCGTTGCCAGGGGCAAACCATAGGAAGCATTGCAAAGCACACGTTTGTCGGTTTCATGAACTACTTTCCGTCCAAACTAGCAGACCAGTGTTCATGTACGGTAAATACTTACCTTGTCCATAGAGTTACGTACTTTGGTTGCACCTGTTCCACCACTTACTTAGGTTACATCAGTGCGTCGCAAAAACTGAAGTGGCACGCCACTTGACGCGCAGAAGTAGTTAGAACCGGGAACTTGCTGATTTTGCGAAGTACATTCAACTAAATTTTCAAAAGAGTATACTCATAGTATTACATCCTGGGTCAGAGTCTTAGCCCAGAAGTTGGCTTTACAATAAGGCGACATAGTGACTGACACCGGGATGATTGATGAGTGGCTATATAGAACAACAGACCATAGGAAGCATACTTCTATCGTTTCGGTGCACTTTCCTCGGACTCGCTCAGCAGCCCTATATTGGTACACGCTAAATACCAATCGTTGAGACCCCAGCGCTCTACTCTTGTGTGGTATCACACCGGGACCAGCGGTTACAGTTTTGCCACACGCCTGCACTCCCTTAGTTATTGTGCTTGGTCGAACTTCAGCATGAAGACTTCTACTTTGGAGAAGAGACGGCCGAATATAAATGTTCGTTTCGTTGAATGGAACCCGCTTTTCGAAGTGAGATCTCACACAGTAGCCTGCATAACCTGGGGACGACTAAACCCTGGCAAAATCTCAGTTCCCCTGGTTGAAAGTGGGGTTCGTTGGGCTATTTGATAGCTGCATCATCACCGACTACAATAATTACTGGCGCGTGAGCGAACGATCACAGACTTGCTAGTTTTGATCTCATTTGTGGGGTCAATCCGACCAGAGAGGGAAGTGGAATCACACGATTGCTTTTGGCTGAGTTCATTCTTCCGGTAATTAGATGCTTCCAAGGTCGAAACACCTTTCTCTTCATGCAGTCTAGACGCCTATTTTGAGAGCTTATTTTCATTTCGACTGGAATACATTGATGAGATAAACTCACTACCGACATCCATCGGTCTTGAAGCCTCAAGTAGCAGTAATATTGTCCGTCGTGGTTTAAAAACGATGCTCTGCCACACTGGTCTCCGAAGAGAAACTGGTTAAGTGGTACATGAATATCCGGATTTCGGTAACCATTTCTAGTTAGCCACACTTTTTGAGTGATTGGGTTGTAGGAGTATAAGAGGCAAATTGGATTTCAATGCTAGGCACTTATAAACTATAATATGGAAATTAATGGACTGACTTTACCAACGGTTTCCCGAATTTCGATCGACTGCTATCATCATCATCGACAGCATGATATCAGTCAGTCTCACGCTTCGTTGCCGTAAATCGACCCTAATTGGCCGAAAATCGGGGAATAGCTAATCAAAGTGAAAACTGATGCCAGTCATTTGACGACTCGGTTGATGTCATCCTAATGCCAGAGCACTCATCATTCGAAAAACAGTGATTACATTTTTGGATATCACCTTTCCTACGTGTGGCTTGGAATAACACGCTCCACGGGTGAATCGTCAGACTCCAGACCCAGCTAAACATGTCATCGCAGTTGTTCTGTTGAGTGCAACGGCGGTCACTAGTCTGAAATTCAAATACTTCTTTTATCTTTTACCCGCTACAATCAAGATTTCCAAGATTTTATTGGCAACGATTGTATGAGGTTCCGTGCTTAAACATTTGACTCGGGCTATATTCCTCTTCGGCATTCAGCTCATCGAATTATCTGGATTGTGCATCTTCTTAAAAGTACTTCTTTAGCCGTCAGGTAGACAAAACCATGACTAGGGATTCCAATATAGAAAGAGAACTGCTCCAGCTTACTTGCTGTCGTCTCATAAGCTATAAGCCACAGTAGTGTAAGATTGGGTAATTCCCAATTGAGATTTCGTTCTGTAAGTAAAGCCAATCTATGCATAAAAACCCATAAGCATTGTGCGGTCGTTTCATGCTGTACAAGTAATCCCACCGCTTGAAAAATGTGGATAGCTAATTCTGACCTGAAGCTGTTACCCAGACGTGGTGGTCAGGCTTGAGCACTGCACTTATCGCGCAAACCATACTAGCTAGAACCTCATTCCGCAAGGTGTAACCATATCAGGGAGGCCACACAGGGGCAGTCGAGTCAAGATCAGTTGGACCCCGTACTACGAGTAATCGTGCTACGAGGCGGTCTGGAGGTAATGTCGTGCTGTCCTACGCAATGGGAATGTGAAGGCAGGTGACCGGCTGTCCACATTCATGGAAGCAGCAATACTGCGTTCCTTCGAGTAAGGACGAGTTAGGGAAGGTCAGTCCTAAAGACCAAATGCACCGATCGCTCAGAAGCTGAACCGTTGATTGGCGGCGCATTATCCAATA